AAATCAGGGATAAAATCTTCTGAGATGTGATTTAAAAAAAAAAAAAAAAAAAAGTAAATAAATAAAATATACGACAGTGCCTAAAAACTCGCACTTTCCCACCCTTGCACGCGGAGGATGTTCATGCTGGGGTGATAATCTTGAAGGTTGTCCCTCAGACTCACCAGGCCGCTTTCCCAGACACAAGACCATCACCACTCCCAGCCATCTCAATGGGAGTGACAGAGCTAATCCCACAGGTTTCCAGCAACTTTATGTTAACTGAGCAAATACTACAATTTTCAAAAGGGCACTGATTTTGTAAGAAGGAACTGGAAATGACTTACCCCAGCAAACGCCCCAGCGTGCAGAACTCAATTTACAAAGAGAACCAGGTGGCAAGATTTTTGTAACTGGGTAGTCCAAACATGCCTTGTTACTGTTACACCAGAGACACTGAAAGAAAACAGTGTTAATACCAACCCTCAGAAACCACAAAAACAAAGCATCTGATTGCCCAGGACCAAACCACCTCTTACGGCTGCTACTGCCACCCAGCATGGCCATCTCTCTTGGGTGGCTGTGATGGCCTTGTCCTCTTGGACTCACCCCAGGCTCATAATTACTCAGACCTCTTCCACAACTCACTGGGCCACAGCTTTGGGGCTCCATGATGCTCCTGAGAATTGCCAACCCCTGTTCTGCCAGGACCCCTTCCCCAGACACCTATATGGTTCTCTGCCACTTGAGCCAGCCTGCTTCACACTGGCCCTGTCTCCCTGCCCTCAGTACTCACTGCTCCACTGCAGCACCAGCCAACACACTGTGTACGTGCGCCATGTCAGGCAGGCACCTGTGCACTTCACTGGTGTAACCCAGAACACAGGACAGAGCCTGGCCCAGTGCAGGCACTCATTAAGCGTCTGCTGAATGGACTTCGGCAACCATGGTGATTGCTATTTTTAGAAAGGTCCCATGCATCCCACCTTTGATCGTTACAACTGTACTAAGTTGTTGCCAGCCGCTTAAAAGATAATGCAATTGATTCAGTAGCCATAGCACAGTAGTTATGGCACCAGCCACATATACGAGTGGCAGGTTCGAACCTGGCCCAGGCCAGCTAAACAACTACAACAAAAAAATAGCCGAGCATTGTGGTGGGCGCCTGTAGTCCCAGCTACTTGGGAGGCTGGAGCAAGAGAATCGCTTAAACCCAGGAGTGTGAGACTGCTGTGAGCTGTGATGCCATGGACTTCGAGGCATAGTGAGAATGTAACACAGTGAGACCATCTCAAAAGAAATAAAAATGATGATGCAATTAAGACTCAAAGGCATCTGGCCAGAAGTTGAGAGCTCCCATGGGAGCCCTTCAAGTGTTAGGGGTGAGGATGCAGTGGTGCAGAGACAGCACATCACACCTGTGGTATAGCAGCAGGGATGCTGGAGAGCACTTTGTGGGCAGACACTGTGGGCAACAGGAAATGCAGCCAAGTGACTCTGGAACTGCAGTTTCAGTGCACCTGACTCGCCAGCCAATGTGGGGACTTTGCCTGGTATTTTAAATCTTGGTATTAACAATGCTGTTGTTTTTAAAACAACCTCAAATACTTGGGCTCAAGTGATCCTCTTGCCTTAGCCTCCAGAGTAGCTGGGACTACAGGAGCCTGCCACAACTGCTGCCCAGTTGTTTTTTTTTTTTTTTAAAAGCCAAGGTCTTGCTTTTGCTTAGGCTGGTCTCGAACTCCTGGGCTCCCTCAGCCTCTCAAGTAGCTGGGACTTCAGATGCCTGCTACAAAGCCCAGCTATTTTTAGAGATGGGGGTCTCACTCTTGCTCAGGCTGGTCTCCAACTCCTAAGCTAAAGCAATCCACCCACTTTGGCCTCCTAGAGTGCCAGGTTTACAGTTCTAAGCCACTGTACCCTGCCTCATTATGCCTTATTTTATTTTTTTTTGAGACAGAGCCTCAAGCTATCCCCCTGGGTAGAGTGCCATGGCATCACAGCTCACAGCAACCTCCAACTCCTGGGCTCAAGCAAGTCTCCTGCCTCAGCCTCCCAAGTAGCTGGGACTACAGGCGCCCGCCACAACACCCGGCCATTTTTTGGTTGCAGCCGTCATTGTTGTTTGGCGGGCCTGGGCTGGATTCGAACCCACCACCTTAGGTGTATGTGGCTGGTACCTTAGCCACTTGAGCCACAGGCGCCGAGCCTTAATGCCTTATTTAAATGGCTTAGAACATAATATTTAAAATTGTATGTATTTTTTTTTTTTAGACAGAGTCTCACTCTTTCATCCTGGCTAGAGTGCAATGGATACCACAGCTCACATCAACTTCAAACTTTTGGGTTCAAGTGATCCTCTTGCCTCAGCCTTCAGAGTAGTAGTAGCTGGGACGATAGGTGCCTGTCACAACAACCAGTACTTTGTTTTTGTTTTATTTTTAGAGACAGGGTCTTGCTCTTGCTTGGGCTGGTCTCCAACTCCTGAGCTCAAGCAGTCTATCTGCCTTGGCCTCCCATAGTGCTGAGATTATAGATGTGAGCCACCACACCCGGCCGTATTTATTTATTTTCATATTTATGTATTTTTAATGAAGATGGGATCTTGCTAAGTTGCTCAGGCTGGTCTCCAACTGCTGGCCTCAAGTGATCCTCCTGCTTCACAAATAGCTGGGATTAGAGGTGCGTATCACCACGCCTGGCTACAGTGTAACCTAATAAACAGCAGTAAAATGCTGTCTATTTTGCCTATTTGGGAATATTTTCCATTTATGTCTGGGATTAACAATTTTTGGCTAGTTCTCCCTTTTCAAATAGCTCAAGATATAAATGTCTAACTTCCCATTTTGATATGACAATTTACCACAAACCTAAGAGCTCACTGTGAGGACATATTGCATTGTCTCTGGTGAGGTTTAGTTTGGTTTGTGGTTATATTTTTCTTTGGACAGGATGTTAAAATCTTTCTAAATTTTATTATTTTTATTTTTGTGTGTTTTTAATCAATGAAATAATATACAGGCAGCACCTAGGGGACAGTCTGCCATACCCTCTCTTCTACTCCAAGGCCTCCTAGGCACTTGGCATGCTTCTAGAATCCTTCCCTGGGCACTCAGGGACATTCGAGTCTGGGGCTGGCCACATGTTAGTTACTGTTCCTCTGCAGCAGCCTGACTTGCTCTGTCTGGGTTCAGAGCAGGAGTCAGGCCTTCAGATAAAATCTGCACCCACCCCTCCCACTGTGACCTGGGCAAGTCCCTTGGCCACCTTAACTGAGACTGATTTCATCATCACATCTAACCCAGGTGGAGAGGGCTTCACAGGGCAATGCAGCAAGCATGCTCTCTAGACTGCAAAGTGACATAAAACAGAGAGCTGTTTTTATGGCTGAAATGAATTCCAACAGAAAAATCCAGAGACCAAAAAGAAGCCCGTCATGAAAACACCACTCAAGCTGTGCACAATGGTTTACAGCAGTAACCCTAGTACTTTGGGAGGCTGAGGCAGGTGGGCTGCTTGAGCTCAGGAGTCTGAGACCAGTCTCAGCAAGAGCAAGACCCCCTTCTCTACTAAAAATAGAAAAATTAGCCAGGCGTTGTAGCAGAGGCCTGTAATCCCACTTACTTGGGAGGCTGAGGCAAGAGGATCTCTGGAGCCCAGGAGTTTGAGGTTGCTGTGAGCTAAGGTGTCCAAGACACTCTTGCCAGGGCAACAGAGAGAGACATTGTCTCAAACAAAAAGAAAATAAAATACCACCCATGAGGACTAGACCCACTTGAGCAAGTTCAACATTATCAATGACAAGATCTGAACGCTAGTCACCATGTGTCTCAAATTTTAATCAGCACATCAAGTACCCCTTTAAGTCCCACAAACTGACAAGATCTGTCTAAAGCTTATACTTCTCCATGGGTGAGAAATGTTTTTTTTTTTTTTACAAACATAGCTATTACCTTGGAGTGGAAACCACCTAATATATCTTTCCTGACTAGTCTCATGTCATCCACCCTCACTGTCAGGGAAAGCGAAACAGGCCCCACAGTTCTCAGTGCCCTATAAAGCCTGGAAGGGGTGGGGGCAGAGGCTTCCCTGGTATCTTAAGGCAAAGATACCACAGAACGCTGACTTTTGTCCTAATTGTTGTCACCCAACTGCTGGGCTATGCGCGAGTTTTCCCAGAGCATATGTAAGTGCTGCTGAGTCCAGCTCTCCACGCCATACACCTGTGCTGAGATCTGTGCTGTGGCTACTTCCCCACCACTGCTCCTAGACAGACAAGTGAACACTTGGGTCAGATCGCAGCACAGCTGCCTGGGAACAACCCTGACAAGTCTCTGGCCTGCTTTGTCAACAGGACTGGGAAACTTTGCTCCAGAATGGCTACTGTCTTGCTCAATGTTACACAGGGATAGAGAATTGGGGACGAAATCCAACCTTACTGGTTCAGTATTATGTTATTACTCGAGATGCTATGGACAGCGTCAGACCCAGTGGATGAGATGGCCTGTAAGCCACTGAACCAGCCCACCATGTTTCTGTGTGGAGAGCGAAGATAGGACTGTCTGCTTCAGCCCCTGACAGGTGAGGCCATGTCAAGGTTTACAGACAACCCAGTTCTTCTGCCTGTTAGGAAATCTGACCCTGCAGCTCTGAGCAGGGAGTGGGTGACAACACCTCCATGCTCTCAGCAAGTGTGGATGCAAGCCTTGCTCTACTCCCAGAGTTCTTGCTACCATGTCTCGGGGGCCCATCTCATAGACAAAGTCACAGCTCCTGCCCCTGACAGGCCTCTAAGGCCTAATGACTCCCCAGGAAAGGCCTAGTAGCAGGCTGACAGTCACCTAAAGCCCAGCCAACCTGACACCCCCCAACCAGTGCCCACACCCACCAGGCCTGGCCCACCCACACGCCTTACACTTCCTACACCTTACATTTCCCTCGCCTACTACAGAAATGAAGTTGCCAATGCTGATCGTGCAGGTGGTACCTACAGTTTTCATGGGAAGGTTTTACATGCCTGAGAAAGGCTAAAATAACATTTAATAACTATCAAATAAATACCTTTACAAATCCCAAATAGAAGAACCATTCAAGCACACAAGCAGCTTTGTGGGCTTAGTGCAGGGGTCCTCAAACTTTTTAAACAGGGGGCCAGTTCACTGTCCCTCAGACAGTTGGAGGGCTGGACTGAGGGCCCCAGGACGAGTCGGCTGCTAAGCAGGACAGGCAGCGCCGGCAAAAATACCCGGTGGGCTGGATAAATGTCCTTGGCGGCCCATATGTGGCCCGTGGGTTGTAGTTTGAGAACGTCTGGCTTAGAGAAAGCCATGTGCTCTTGGACGGCACTCAGATCAGCACACTGCTTACCGAGACGTTCTTCAGGCACTCCTCACAGGTTCTGTTTGTGTTCTGAGAACAACCTGCAAGGAAGACACAGAGACAAATAAACCACCAAGAAACCAGGTAATGTCAATATGACCTCATGAGGGCAGGGAAGGCATGAGAGAGGGAAACCTGAGATGCTCTGATTTGGAACTAACAGGATGACCATCCTCTCAAGCCTCTCCTGGCAACAAGCTTTCCTCAAGACATTTGTAACAAAGGCCAGGCATAAGGGCTCAGACCTGTAATCCTAGAATTCTGGGAGACTGCGGTGCGTAGACTGCCTGAGCTCAGCAGTTTTAGCCAGCCTGAGCAAGAACGAGACCCCCATCTCTTTAAAAAAAAGAAAAAAGTAACCAGGCATTGTGGCAGGCACCTGTAGTCCCAGTCACTTGGGAGGCTGAGGGAAGAGAGTCACTTGAGCCCAAAAGTTTGAGGATGCTGTGAGTGGTGACACTATGGCATTCTACCAAGGGGTGACAAAATGAGACTATTTGGAGCAAACATTCTAGAAGCCTGCTGTGAGCAGGGCACCAAGAAAGCAAACACATGGCTCCTACCTACAAAAGGCCTCTAGGAAGAGGAGGTTCCACACACAAAGGCTCTGTTTCCCATCTTCCCTCTACAGGTGACTACATGGCCATGTAACCACTAAGCACTAACCCACTGAGACCTTCCACTCATCAGCAGACACATTTTGGGAAGCCAAGAGCTTCCAAACAAGGCCACAGCAATGCCAGCAATGCTGTCAAGAAGCACACCCATTTTCAGACTGACCTACAGATCTCATGTATCAAAGCTGGTCTCAGCATCCTGGCTAGCCTCTACCAATCACACAGGACACACGGCACTACTATGGGAAGGGCTCAAACTCCAAACAGCTAACAGCTATGAAATGCATGCTAATCAGAAGTAGAGAGCTACTGCATAAATAAAGAATTTCCAACATGCTGATAAGCAGCTGCTGACTGCTCACTCCTCAACACCCTTTAAAGACATTTTGAAAAAAGCTCCGTGCACAGTATCACTGTCACCAGAGAAATGCAAATTAAAACTCCCAAGAGACACAACTATACACCTCCAGAATGGCTAAAATTAAAGAGAATCACAACAGCAAATGCTGGCAAGGATGTATAGCAACAGAACTCTCACACCATGCTGGTGAGGGCCAACTGGTTCAACCATTTGCAAAGAAAGGACTGTCAGCAGCTCGTAACTCAGCAATCCACTCAGGTAATCCATCCCTAAGAAAGGAGAACCCAGGTGCACCTAAAGACCTGCTGAGGAACATTCATAGCAGCTGTGTCTATAAAAGCCCCAAGCTGAAAACAGCCGACATCCCTCTGTAGGAGGATGGACAGACAGATTGGAATATTCCTACAATAGGATAGAGAATCAAGAACAGCAAACAGGCAGCTCTCAGCTGCAAGAGATTTTGTGAGAAAGAGGAGATTCTAAGCAAAGAGGCTATCTATCTTCCCTTTAGAGAAGGTGTGTGGCGTGGCCACATAATCACTAACACTATTCAGCCAAAAAAAAGAAATGAACTGGTCTATGTAAAACACAGATCAATCTAAAAATCACTGTGTGGAATGAAAAAGCCTCTATGGCCGTGGAAGAGCATGCTGCACATTTCCATGGCGACGCAGCTGCACAACAGCTAAAACCCATCTATGGGGGACGGGGGCAGACATGGCAGAGGGGTGGGGCCTGAACCTTCTGGATTGAGGGTCACTTCTAGGTCTGGATAGGGGTCGTAGCTACACAGATGTAACTTACTGAACAATACTCAAGTTTCCTGCATTCCATTGTATGAAAAATTTATCTCAAAAGAAAGATATGATAGTCACTGAACTCCAGTTACTGACACTGTGACCAACTAGCACACACAGAAGGCTGAACAGAAAAACACAGCAAAATGTGGCGACAAAGCCTCCATGGGGAGAGTGAGTGAGTGACTGAGTGTGTGTGCTACAAAGTGCACTACCTGTGCTGTCTGTGTAAAGGTTTTCTTTTCTTTTTTTTTTTTTTTTTTTTTTTTTTTTTTTTTTTTTTCCTTTTTTGAGACAGACTCTCACTTGGTCACTCTTGGTAGAGAGAGTGCTGTGGCATCTTAACCTCACGGCAACCTCAAACTCTTGGGTTCAGGTGATCCACTTGCCTCAGCCTCCTGAGTAGCTGGGACTACAGGCACCTACCACAATGCCCA